AAGAAATGTCATGATTACCACAAACAAATTCTATCCAAGCCAAAAAGAATAACTTTCTCAGTATGATTCTTAAATCTGCCATTGCCAGGAGAGGCTTTCTGCTTGTTTTTTTTGAGGGGTGGGGTGCTAGGGTGGGGCGGTATATTCCTTTTATGGTAAGAAACTCTTCAGTTAAAATCACATTTATTGCAATTGTAGAAGATCATAGGAGTAATCCTATGATTCTTTTAGATAACAGCATCAACTGACAGTTTATCACATTTCCTTGAGATGCTAATTATGCAGAAAATGCTCACAGAGTCCCTGTGATTAAGAGATAATCCTTATCGGAAAAATATGTTTAATCCAAATAAAAACATCTTATCTTTACATTCATACAGTTTCTAGTCTTCAATTAATTTTCATAAACACTATCTCACTTGACCTCAAGACAACATGAGAGATGGCTAAGAGATTAAAAAACTACAAAAAAAACCACTTGTCTTTAAAAATAATTTATTTAATAGAGTCTCAATTCTTATGGAGAAATATGGAATATGAATGGATTCCACACCATAGAGATAGTACACTATTTCAAAATAAAATTACTGATCTGGTATATGTATGCCCCTTGGTGTATTTTACATCAAAATAGACTCTTTGAGTATAAGAATGACCTCAGGAATACCCTTCTTCCACAGGGGCTACTGTCAAATGTCACACCGAATTATGTAACTTCCAATATAATGAGAACATTTAAATTGCAGAATCATCTTTCTTAAATTTTTCTTCTAATGAGCAAGTTATTTTGGAATGAATACCAATGAGAACAGTAGAATAGCACATAGAGACTACAGAACCTACTTACTGGATTTCAGTCAGTAATCATTCTAAGACCAATCATGAAGACTGAAGGAAAAACAACTTCAAAAATCACAAATTTCCCCCATTAAATTTGTTTTACAATACTGTAAATTATTTCAACTAGAAAATTTATAAGTCCAATGCTGTGCTGATTCCTAGAAAGTTGTATCTGAGTTGTTAGGGAAGCTTATGGTCTAAAATAAACACTAGAGATATGAAGAACATATAAAAACTATGGGATTAGTGTGATTCAAGAAGCCCCATGATTTAAGTCAAAAAAATATGTTTCATATAAATACATACTTATAGGATGGCAGATGTTGTTGGCCAAACAACTGGTGCTCAGGTCAAACAGACCTGGATCTGAATGCTGGTTCCTTCACTGATTAGCAATTTGACCCTGGACAAGTTACTTAATTTGTCTTAATTTCTTAATCTATAAAAATAGGATAAGAATCTTATAAAACTATAAGAGTAAGTGAGGATAAAGTGTATAATGTTTATCACCATATCTGACACACACTAATCCTCAAAACTATTAGTTATCACCACCACCACATTATTATTGCTGAAGAAGTCCCGTAAGATAGAACTTTTGGTGTATGTGAGTGTGTGTGTGCATGTGAAATGGATTGATACACAGTTATTATAATGAGTAAAAGGCTACCTGGGAAGGCAAGAACTGAAACCTCCAACTTTTTCCAGGTATTAAAAAGTACTAAAATCTTTCAGGAAAGCCCTAATAAAGGCCCAATAGCAAGAAAAGGCAATGAAAGGCCATCTGATGACATCAGAAGAGAAAAAGGCCCACTTTTCCAAGTGTCCTATGTCATCACAAGGGCAGGTGGTGAAATGAGGAATTAACTGTAAATTGAACTGAATGAGCTGGAATGATGGGAACTCATCAACTGTGAAGTACAATACTCTAGGTTTATCATGACTGGGTTATTTTGCTTGCTTGATCATTTCTGTTTTGTTTTTGGTGGGGGTGGGATAGGTAATATGAAGGGGAAGGCACATATACAGAATACTGTCATCTTTCCTCCACTAAGTAACTTATCAAGGTTACACAGCTATTAAGTAGTATAAGCAGTAGTGCAAAGACTCAATCCCATATTTGTCAGACCCAAGAATCCACTGCTCAAACAGTAACCAAAATAATACTCTTTTTGAGAGCCCAAGGGCAGAAAGATGAATTCATATTTGTCCTGCATATATATGGCAATAGAACTCAAATGATACAATCTAATCTGCAGGAGGTGAGCTTATGGGAATGATTCCTAAATACTGAGAGTCTACCAATGGCACTGAGTGAAAGCAGAATCAACATAAAATTGAATCCTAAGAATCCAAGAACTAAAAGGTAATAAAGTCTCATGCAAGTTACTTAAATTTATTCTAAACCTCCATCTCCTCTACTGTAACACAACACTTCCCTCACCTATCAGGAGAGCAGGGAGAAAATAAAGCACATGAAATATATGATGCAATCATTAGTACTTGGGTGATGCTCAATTTATCATCATCAACATGCTTTAACAATTTGATATTATTTTGAGTATCAATATAACAATGCATGCTTAAATAGTAAAATTACTAAGTTTAGGTTACAACATTTAATATTTTTTAGTAATACTGAAGAATGAATTAAGAAATATATCCTCACCACCTCCCTGTTGCTGATCTATAGAAAAAAACAACAAAAAAACAAAAAAACTTTGCTATTATGTTTGGGGATACTATTTGAATTTTTTCCCTCCTAAATATTAGTTTAATAACTCAAACAATTTATTTTTGGAATTCATATTCAATTTAAATTTTCAATGATATGTTGCTTAGTTGACACATATCACATATTTCACATTAAAAAATTAAGTATTTTTTTTTTTTTTTGGAGAGAAAGAGTATGAGCACACAAAGGGCAGAGAGAGAGGGAAAGAGAGAATCTTAAGCAGGCACCACACCCAGTGTGGAGCCTGACAGGATCTTGATCTCACGACCCTGACTGAGGTCAGGACCTGAGCTGTAATCAAGAGTAGGATGACGCTTAATAGACTAAGCCACCTAGGCTTCCCTATACTTAAATAATTATTAACAAGAATAATAATTAACAATAATCTCTCCTTGTCTATGAATAAACTATTTTTAGACATCAGGAAGGAAAAGTCTGTATAATGTATCTGAAATCTTACTGCTGAATCTTTTTTCTAAAAACTGAAAATTCACCAAAAATCTATTATCTCAGCTTAAGTTCCACTGCTCTAAAACTCAAAGATTAAACCTATCCATTGTTCAATGATGCAAAGAAAGCAATGATACGGAAGAAATATATGCTTTATACATTCTTTCTCACTCAATGAGAAAATACAAAATTGGAACCTGCAAAAAATTCGGGTTCAGCTTTACTAAGAAAAACAAGCAAAATAAAATATGCTTAAAACAGAAAAAAATACTTGTAATCTAAATCAACTGATTAAGCTTTTAAAAGTCATCTCAGTTAAGAATATAGAAATTAATTCTACTTACTGACATCTTTAATCATTAGTAAGAGGGTTGGTCCTGATTAAATACACAAAATAGGCTACTCTCGTTAGGTACACATTTAACAATTCTGACTGAATGCAGAATCCTTCATCTAAAACCAACAGGTATATTTTAGTATATTTAGTTGTTACTCTAAAGTCCTTTCTTTTTCTACTGTCATAAATGAGAAAATATATCAGCCACTCTGGTTAAGTAATCTTATATATATTATCTCATGTATTACTTATACATACTAAGAGGAGGTAAATTATCATGCCAAAAGTCACATATGTCATACACAGCAGAGGATGTAGTATCTGAATCGAGGTCAGCCTGGATCTGAAGCATTCAGCTTCTGGAATTTTAGCTCATCTCTTTTTTATATAATAGAAAACTGTTAGCCATTTTTTCAATTTTTAGACTCTTTCCTGAATAATATCACGATAACCAATATTCACACAATTTTAAGATTTTATTTTTAAATGATCTCTACACCTAACATGGGGCTTGAACCCACAACTTCGAGATCAAGAGCAGTGGGTTCTTCGGACTGAGCCAGCCAGGCACCCCAACATTCACAAAATTTTAAACCAGTATAATACTAAAGCTAAAACAAGGAGTAAAGAAAGGGGGATTACAGCCATTTTCTTTATGCCAGGAAAAACTCATAATCAATAATCAAGAAATAAAAGCTAATGCATGATCCATATCAAAAAGAATGCCTGCAATACCTCAAATCAGACAGGTTCTTCTTGTTTATGTATGTGTGTGTATGCTGTATGTGTGCATGTTTTGCACCTGTTAAGTGATCAAAACAGGTATTTCAACTACAATTCTGTGAAACCCAAATAAACAAGTACAGACAAGTATGCAAAGCATAAAGTTCTCCTAAGTCACACTCAGGAATGGCACTGTGAATTTATACCTTTCCCTATTCCTTGTTTTATCATAATATACTAAATTCGCTAATTATGCAGATTTATTAATACCTACTTAGTCTACTTACTAATTATTCACAGCTTTAAATTACAATGTGGCTTATACATTTACATAAGAAAGGCTTTCTAAAGGTTTATTATTAGATGGCTTTCTATTTACAAAAATTAAATTATTACAAATATTTACACTATGTATTTACCCAAATGGCTACAGATTATTACAAAAATTAACATGTAAATTTCTAAATATTAGGATTTTATACCCAACATTATTTCAAAAATCCTTTTATCCATATCATAAAGAGGCATTTACTAGGAAGCAAATCCTAGGTACAAAAATCAAAATATGTTTTATTTTAAAAAAGGCATATTTTGTTTTAATTAACAATTAAAAACATTTGTTGGAGCACCTCTCAACTTGCTAGATGGGGTGCTACCTGACTCATGAACTATTTAATAAAGCCAATTAGATCTTCTGAAAAATAAAAATATCTGTCGTAGCAAACTGCCTCAGAGCAACTCAAATATTAGAAACAAAATTAGTTCCAAAAATTACATCTGTACTGCTTTAATCTTTCCCACTCAAAAAATGTTCAACTTTTCAATAACGCATGTTACATTTCCAAGCTTTTTAAAAGAGTTACTACCAGTCTCTTGCTTAATCCTTCATGGATAGATAAACACTGGAGATCCTACCTTGTGCTGTTCGATGGCATCTATCCATTGTTGTCTATGGTCTGGATCCTGAGCACGAAGATACCAAACGCTATCATTTACACTAATATCAAATCGACATTCATCAAAATCATGAGGCTGTGGAGAAAAGAGCAGAAAATGAGAAGCAAAGCTAATTATATTCTTCGAAGTGTTATAAGCTATAGCAAAAACATGAACATACCCATTCTGGCTGTTGCAAGACTCCCGTTATTCTTTTGTTTCTACTCAAGTAACTTTTTAAAAAATGTCTCAGATAAAGAACACAACAAGAGCATAGTTACCAAAAACTAAGTTTCATTCATTATTCCTACAAATGAGTTGATACATAAATATATTAAAAGAAAAAAAAACAGAGCTAATACTTCGTCAACTGTTTTCTGTTAGCTTAAGTAGTGGGAATACCACCAAAAGCACACACACTAAAAAAGGCCAAGTTTTAGGGATGAGTTTAACTACTTGTTTCCCTGCCTCTATCATTCAAAAGTAAAGGCTCATCATGAAGAGTTGTATTTCATTCAATGTGATGAAATATTTTCACATTCTATGACAAAATAATGTTAAAATTTCCCCCAAGTATTTCAAATTTACTTCTAGCTTTTTACAGGTCTTTGACAGTAACAGCTAGGAGAGTTTCAAATGAAAAGCAAAAATAAAATAAATATTTCATCAGACCTCTATTAGAGGAAATTGCCTATATCAAAAAGTAAACATCTTGTGAAAATATCAATTATTTGGTTCAGTCTTTTACATTCTTTAAAATGAGTATTTTATATCATTGACATTTGTCCAGTAAATGAATTCAAATATGACGGGACCCCCATTGCATATATCACCTCTTCTACCAGAGTACTGAGAGTCAATCAATTTCTTCTCCTGTGAACAATTTTATCCTCAGAGGGTAAAAAGTTCTCTCTAGTGAATGTAATAATAAACTTATTTGATAAACCGAATCTACATATTGTATTTCTAAGGCTTATTGTTTATTCTTTCCTCCCTTTAACAGTATCAATCTTTTATCACCTTATGTGCATGTTTAGCAAAAGCATTTTAACTCCACAATGTCCTTTAGATTATGAAACAGTTTCTCTTTTATGATTAAGACAACAAATCACAGTTCTGACTGGCTAAAGGATGTAAGTATTTTCTGAATCACAATGTGTTAGACATCACAGTTCAGACCAAGGTGGGAGGTAGAATATACTAGAAAAAAGAAAAAGAAAAAACAAGACAATGCATGTCCTGCTTCAGTAATTAAGAATGAAGAAACATAAAAACAAAACCTAAGCAATCATAAATACAATACTGACCTGAAATTTAATGAAATGCCAAATATTCAAGTCTTAAGAATGGAATCCAGTTCCTAAAAAAGTTTCTTGGAGGAAAGGAAGAATACACACTATCTGAAGAACCAAGTAAATAATTTAACTGATCAGGTCCACTGTTCTAAACAGCCCAGCAGTTTCTAAACTTTCACTTTATAATAATTCTGTTTCCAGCTACCATTCCTCAAACAGTTTTACAGTTTGTATTTGGCTTAACATCCTCATTAAAGCTTTAGAAAATAAAATATCTATTAGTTCAAAATTCACTAGTTTCTCCATCAAATGTTTTTCTTCTCTCTTTGACATCTTCAAAACTTCCTCACAATCTTCCAATGAGTACAATGCCACAATTAAAATATTCCTGAAAAGAGAAACTCGCTGCTAGGCTTCCTCTGAATATGAGTGACTCAGTAAAATCTGAAATCAGTATTTAAAACTTGCCAAACTCTTAAATCTGCCAAGTATACCAATTATGATCTCTCTTCCCTGTTTCAAAGTTTAGAAATGTAAAAAAATGTCAAGCTTTTAATAGATAAGAGTTACAGAGAAGTAGAATAAAATGATAATCTAGAAGGTGGAATTAAAGAATTTGAAAACTTACCATGAGATGAGGTATCTAGAGACCTATACACAGAGGTGGTAGTTAATAGAAAATGTACACAGTTAGCCAGTTCTACCATCAAAAATCTGACAGGCAGGTGGCATAAAAGAGGGATACACAAATTGTCAGGTGATACAGAATCTGTGAACACAGAAGCCCTGAATCTCCAAAATGTAAAAAAGTGAGGGAAATTAAGTCTGCAGGGCGGAGAAAAGGACAGACGTCTGAAGAGAATAAATTGAAGTCTAGGGGTGCCTGGGGGCTTCGCCAGTTAAGTGACCAACTTCAGCTCAGGTCATGATCGTGTGGTTTGCAAGTTTAAGCCCTGTTTCAGATTCTGTACTGACAAGCACAGAGCCTGGAGCCTGCTTCAGATTCTGTCTCTCTCCCTGCCCCTCCCCTGCCCACGTTCTGTCTCTCTCTCTCAAAGATAAACAAACATTAAAAAAAATTTTTTTAATGGGGCGGTCCCCCCCCCACAAAAAAACGAGAATTGAAGTCTAAACAATCGAGCTCACATCTTATCTCAACACACATACAACACCTCCGAACATATAATCAGATAGTTGCTTCATTCAAACACAATTGTGATTAACACAAGTGAGATTATCTCACTCACCCAAAAATCAAACTGTGCCCCCACTGAGAATGCATGCTATGAAAAATGCCAACAACAGAAAGGAAAACATCAAGGAAAATGTAGGTGGACCTCATACTTTATGTCAGCATTCATTGTTAAGGACAGAAAATATACCAAAAGGTAAAATGGCACTTATACCCGTCTTGGTTTCTCTTAGTTCTTCGGGCTTCTATAACAAAAAAACCCCATAAAGTGGGTAGCTTAAAGAGAAATTTCTCACAGTTTTGGAGGCTATAAGTCCAGATCAGTGCCAGCCTGGTAGGGTGTTTGTCAAGGGCCCTCTTTCTGGTTTGCAGATGTGTCCTCATATGGAGAAAAGGGAGAGCTCTTGGATGCCATATCATATAGACTTCACTCTCATGACCTCATCTAAACCCAATTATTTTCCAAAGGCCCCACCTCTGATTACTATCCCAATGAAAATTAGGGCTTCAACATATGAATTTGGGAGGACACAGATATTCAGTCCAAAGCACCCATTATCTGCCAAAATAACCTTACATGAACAAGAGGCATAAATCCACAAAGAAAAAGAGAAGCTTTCAACAAAATTCAAAAGTGGAATGTGGTAACTGACATAGCAGGCTTGAAAAAACCGAAAATTAAACATCTACAAGAAAAAAGAAGGGGCGCCTGGGTGGTTCAGTTGGTTAAGCATCTGACTTCAGCTCAGGTCATGATCTAACGGTTCGAGAGTTTGAGCCTCGCATTGGGCTCTGTACTGACAGCTAAGAGCCTGGAGCCTGCTTCAGATTCTGTCTCCCTCTTTCTGCTCCCCCAAATTCTGCTCTGTCTCTCTCTCAAAAATAAACACTAAAAAGAAAAAAAGTTTAAAAAAATGAAAAAAGAAGACAAAAGAATCAAGCCAGTTTGTATGCAATGATGGAAAAGCAAGGAACTGGAGGCATCAAGTAGCCATAAAGGTAAAGGCAAGGGTGGAGCTGAAAACAAAACTGACCAAGAGTCATTAAAAGGCACAACTTGATCCCTGGAATCCCAAACACTGTTGACTACTCACCTACCATTGTACAGTATTAGAGGCCCCACCCTTACCCCTTAGAGAGATGATATCTAACAGGTTTAAGAAGTAGGAACAGTCCTACACAGCAGTGGGTGTGGGGAAAGAAAAAAAAAAAAAGCAGATAAGAAAGTATTTACATTAAAGATCTTTCCCCTACTTAATTCCCAGAAACCTAGCACTCACACTTGCTCCTTCGATCCTCTTCCACCTATAGAAAGAATCTTCCATAAGAAAATTAAGTAGTCCAAGAAAAATGGTATTTAAGGTTTCACACCCAGGCACTTAATTGGTATGAAAGTGAAGATTTCATTTATTTCAATATTGAAAAATTTATCTTTCAAAACTGGTAGATATGCAACACCAAAATGAGGGTGTAACAAAGAGAAGTAATTTGAGAAGCATTTGAGATCCATGAAAAGAAGAAGCAAAGGGACGCTCCAGGAAGACAATAAGGAAAATGCCAGAAGCAGAGTTCTGGAAGGACCCAAAAGTCAGGATTAAAAGAGTATGACAGTATGCTTTAGAAGAGATTTCTCTGGTGCTAGCACAAGTAGAATGAAATATTATCTAAAAGGTTAAACTCAGGGGACAGTGTGTAAGAAGACTTAGAAATTCAAAGAAAGTCAACTAAAACTTTAAAGAACTTTATACTGCTTATTTATTCACTTGTTGATAGACAACTGCTTCCAATTCTTGGTTATTTTGAATAAATTTGTTTTGAAAATTCACATCTTTGTACAGACATATATTTTCACTTCTCCTGATCTAGAGTGGAATGCCTGACTTATAAAGTAGCTATACATTTAAGGAACTGCCAAAAATAGTTGTACCATTTTATGTTCTCACCAGCAGTCTAGCAAAGTCCAGTTAGTCCTCGTCCATGCTTGGGTTTACTTCTGGACTCTGTTTTATTCCATTGATCTAAATGTCTATTCTTGGAGCACCTGGCTGGCTCAGTAGAGCACACAACTCTTGATCTGGGAGTTTGAAGTTTGAGCCCTGCGATGGATTTATAGATTACTTAAAAATAAAATCCTATTAGCACAAAAACAGACACTCAGATCAATGGAACAGAATACAGAACCCAGAAATGGACCCACAAATGTATGGCCAACTAATCTTTGACAAAGCAGGAAAGAATAGCCAATGGAATAAAGACAGTCTCTTCAGAAAGTGGTGCTGGGAAAACTGGACAGCGACATGCAGAAAAATGAACCTGGACCACTTTCTTACACCACACACAAAAATAAACTCAAAATGGATGAAAAGACCTAAACGTAAGACAGGAAGCCATTAAAATCCTCGAGGAGAAGGCAGGCAAAAAACTCTTTGATCTCGGCCACAGCAACTTCTTACTCAACATGTCTCCGGGGGCAAGGGAAATAAAAGCAAAAATGAACAACTGAGACCTCATCAAAATAAAAAGCTTCTGCACAGCAGAGGAAACAATTAGCAAAACTAAAAGGTAACCAGTGGAATGAGAGAAGATATTTGCAAATAATATATCAGATAAAAGGACAGTATCCAAAATCTATAAAGAACTTCTCAAACTCAACACCCAAAAAACAAATAATCCAGTGAAGAAATGGGCAAGAGATATGAATACACTTCTCCAAAGAAGACATCCAGATGGCCAACAGACACATGAAAAAATGCCCAACATCACTCATCATCAGGGAAATACAAATCAAAACCACAACGAGAAACCACCTCACACCTCTCAGAATGGCTAAATTTAACAATTCAGACAACAATAGATGTTGGCAAGAATGCAGAGAAAGAGGATCTCTTTTGCACTGCTAGTGGGAATACAAATGGGTGCAGCCACTCTGGAAAACAGTATGGAAGTTCCTCAAAAAATTAAAAATACAACTACCCTATGACCCAGCAATTACACTACTAGGTATTTATCCAAGGGATACAGATGTGCTGTTTTGAAGGGGCACACACACCCCAAAGTTTATAAGACTGCTGTCAACAACAGCCAAAGTATGGAAAGAGCCCAAATGTCCATTGACAGATGAAAGGATAGAGAAGATGTGGTGTGTATACACACACACACACACACACACACAATGGAATATTACTCAGCAATCAAAAAGAATGAAATCTTGCCATTGGCAACTATGTGGATGGAACTAGAGGGTATTATGCGAAGCCAACTTAGAGAAAGACAAATATATGACTTCACTCAAGAAGAATTTAAGATACTAAACAAATGAACATAAGGGAAGGGCAACAAAAAAAACATAAAAACAGGGAGGGGGATAAAACATACAAGACTTAAATAGTGAGAACAGAGGGTTACTGGAGGGATTGTGGGAGGTGGGATGGTTAAGGGGCTTTAAGAAATCTACTCCTGAAATCACTGTTGCACTACATGCTAACTAACTTGGATGTAAATTTAAAAAAAAAAGTCTATTCTTACTCCAAAAACACTAAATTACTGCTGCTCAATAGTCAGTCTTGAAATCATGTAGCATATGTCTTCAAACTTTACTCCCCCTTGAAAACCTATTTTGGCTAATCTAGGTAGTTTGCATTTATATATATATTTCCAGACACACTGAGTACCAGGTTGCAGGAATTCCATACATTTTTCTATAGATTAATATGGAAAAGTGTGACCTCTTAATCATGGACATTTTTCTAGTAACTCATGTCTTCTTTAATTTATCTCCATAATCTCAAGTAGCTTGTATTATACAGGTACAATGCACAATGCTAGACAGATTCCCAAGTAATGCTATGTCACTGTACATGGAATTGTTTTTAAAATTTCACTGTTTATAGTATATAATAGATCTCATAATTGTATACTAACCTTATATTCTTGCAAAATTCACTTAGTATTTCCAACATTGTTTGAATAATACACCTAAAGAAATCTACAAAACCTTGGTGCCATTGCAAATAGTTTTCCTTTTGCCCTTCTGATCTTTATCCCCTTTTAGATCTTTTTTCTTGCCATACTGAGATGACCAGGATGTCCAACACAAAGTTAAAATTGAAGTGATAAGGGCTACATCCTTTCCCTGACCCTAATCTTAGGAGAAAAGCATAAAAGATTTCACTGTTGCGCATGATGTTAAACTATGTGTTTTTGTAGATGCCCTTTATTAGGCTGATGTTCCTTTCTACTTCTGGTTCCCTAAGAATCTTTTTTATTTTCAATTTAAATGCATATTGGGATGTTGTTAAAAGCTTTTCGATCTACTGAAATTTGTTTTGAATTTTTGTTTTTAGTTTGTTAAAACGGTGAATTAGATCATCAGGGAAATACAAATCAAAATGACAATGAGGTATCGCCTCAAACCTGTCAGAATGACTAAAATTAGCAACTCAGGAAACAACAGAAGTTGGCAAGGATGCAGAGAAAGGGGAACCCTCCTGCACTGCTGGTGGTAATGCAAACTGGTGCAGCTACTCTGGAAAAACAGTATGGAGGTTCCTCAAAAAATTAAAAAGAGGGGGTGGCTCAGCTGATGAGGCATCCTACAGGATTTGGGCTCAGGTCGTGATCTTATGGTATGTGAGATAGAGCCCTAAATTGGGTTCCACACTGATGGCATGGAGCCTGCTTGGGATTCTATCTCCTCTCTCTATCCTTTTCCCACTCGTGCTTTCTCTCTCAAAAAACAAAACAAAACAAAAAATTAAAAACAGAGCTACCCTATGACCCAGCAATTGCATTATTAGGTATTTATCTGAAGGATAAAAAAAATGGTGATTCAAAGGGGCACATGCACCCCAGTGTGTACAGCAGTGTTTGTCAACAAAAGCCAAATTATAGAAAAAGCCCAAATGTCCATCAATCGATGAATGGATAAAGATGGGGTATACAACCTTAGTTTGTGAGCATAATCTGTTCTGGAAACATGCTTGTATTCCAAAGCACTTGTATATCAAAGTGAATTTCCCCATAAGCAATAATGGAAGCTCAGAGGATTTGTTCTACAACCCTAAAATATCCATATAAAAATGATAATACTATAATACAAAATAATAAAATACAAAATATAAAGAAAAATAAACAACCTGCACTTACCTTTGAAAACCTTTGTGGCTGGTGTAAGGGAGACAAGAGAGAGGAGGGTTATTGTGTAGGACAACTTTCACTATCACTAATGGAATTACTACTATCTATTGGCTCAGTGGAATCTTTTTCTGCATGGAGGACATTGTATATGCTCATACGGATGTTGACCACACTACAGCATTAATATACTCTTGTCATATACTGTATTTAATCTAACTGGCAATAAGGCAGCAGAGGAAAATGTCTGTATCTGCCGGCAGCCTGACCTAGGATGAAGCAAAACATTCCTAAGCTTACTCTTGTATGGAAAATCAAGGGACTGTCCACAGGTGCTTTGAAGTGACGAAAACTACACTAGTGCCAGTTGTGGGCATCTTCCAATGTTTTGAAAAATCACTGATTTCTGCCAAACACCATGGCATGAGACTGAGTATCCAAGCATGGGAGACCATCTCCCACAATCCCACAGCAAGAGAGAAAGGGAGAACCACTGGCTCAGTTGTGATCATGCAATGCAGAGAGTCACGTACTACTCGTATTGCAAGACAATGCTTACTTATCAAGTTAAAATTTATTAAAAATGTTTGCTTGTCTTGTCAAACACTCACAGAACAAGCTACTCACAATTCAAGGTTTTACTGTACAATGGAATAAAAAAATGGAATCTTGCCATTTGCAACAACATGGATGAAACTAGAATTTATTATGCTAAGCAAAGTAAGTTGCCAGTGATAGATAAACATCGTAAGATTTCACTCCTATGTACAATTTAGAAACAAAACAGATGAGCATAGGGAAGGGAAGGAAAAATAAGATAAAAACAGGGAGGCAAACCACAAGACACTCTTAAATATGGAGAATAAACAGGGTTGCTGGAGGGGTGTTGGGTGAAGGTAGGCTGAATGGGTGAGAGACATTAGGGAAGGCACTTGTTGGGATGAACACTGGGTGTTTTTTGTAAGTGATGAATCACTAGATTCTACTCCTGAAACCATAATTACAATATATGTTACCCAATTTGGATTTAAATAAAATTTTAAAAAATGGTGAATTACAATGACTGATTTGCTACATTAAATTAACCTCAAATTCCTGAAATGAAGTGCATTTGTTTGGTAATTATATATAATCCTTTTTTTTTGGTCCCGAGGGGTTACAACACACCTGGAGGCACTGCAGTACAAGGTCAATGTGAGGACTGGATGGCGTAACCTCCTATTTCATCTCCCTGCTCCAAATCTCCATGTACTATACTGCCCTTGCATAGAGGACACATCAGACATTAAACTGATAAGAATAGATACAAGACAAGATCTTAGCCAAAAGCTTAAAAGTTATACATAATCCTTCTACTACGGATTTGCTACTATTTTATAAAAGAATATGGTATCTATGTCTACCATAGAGCTCTAATTTTCTTGTGATGTCTTCATCAGGTTTAGGTTTCAGTTACACTGACTACACAAGTGTTGGAAAGAGTTTGTAGAAGACTGGGATTATTTCTCTGGAACATTAACATACCAGGGAAATTTATGGACAGGTTTTCTTGGGGAGTTATTAACTCAGGTTTTTAGGCCTTGGCTTATTCAGATTTTCTTTATCTTAAAAGCATTAAAAGGGAAAAAATAATCCTATAATTACGGATACATATTCACTTTTTCTGATGCTCTTCATTAGTTCCTCTTTAGGAACTCAGTTTGCTTCATGTATTTCTCTTCAGCCTGAAAAAGTTCCCTTAGCATCTCTTGTAGTATAGGTCATCTGCCCACAAGGTTTCCTTTATCTAAAAATATCTTTATTTCACTTCATTTTTAAAGAATATCTTCACTGAATCCATTATAAGATGTCTTCTAGCCTCCATGATCTCTAAGGAGAAGTATACAATAGCGTAAATAGTGTACCCCATTTATGTATCATTTTTTCTCTAGCTACGTTCAGGATTTTTATCTTTGGTTTTCAGCAGTTGATTATGATGTGTTAGGTTTCAATTTGTCCTACTGTTTATTGAGTTTCTTAAATAAATTTATATTATTCACCAAATATGGAAAGTTTTACTATAATTTCTTCATATATTTCACTTTCTCTTCTTTCTCGAGATTCCTAAGAATCCATTTAATTCTGCCCATGTGAAATAAAACAAAACAAAAATTAGGTTAAGAATCACTTCTTGGAGGCGCCTGGGTAGCTCAGTCAGTTAAGCATTCAACTGTGGCTCCAGTCATGATCTCATGGCTTGTGAGTTCAAGCCCCATTTCGGGCTCTGTGCTGATACCTCAGAGCCTGGAGAGTCTGCTCTGTGTCTCCCTCTCTCTCCACTCCTACCCCCGCCCTCTCGAAAATGAATAAACATTAAAAGAGAGAGAGAGAGAGAGAGAGAGAGAGAGAGAGAATGCCTTTTTTGATCTATAGTTAAAATCCTGATTATTTTCTGTCATCCTTATCTACTTTAAGTCCCAGAGAGGGAATGATTTCTATTTGAGATATCATTCTTCATAGTTCTAAAATTCCCATTGGTTCTTTTATATATTTTCTTTTCTTCTGCTGAAATGGCTTACCTTTTCATTTATTACAAGCCCATTTTCTTTTACCTCACACAATTATACAACCTGCTTTAAAAGCTTCATCAGATAATTCTAACGTCTTGCTCATCTTGAATTTGGCATTGGTTCATGTCTTTTCCCTTGAGAATGTGTTGTAATTTCCTGGCTCTTTGAATGTTGAGTAATTCTGAGTTGACCGTGAACACTGTGAATGTTAGGTTGTGAACTCTGGATTCTGTTATATTCTGAAAAATTCTGTTTTTGTCAGCAGGCAATTAACATGCTCAGACCCAAATTGCTAATTCTGTCATGTGTTCAATGGGCAGCAGCTAGGGTCTCAGTTCAGTGTACTTTCAGTCTGGCCTGTACACACACAAATGAGGGGTCAGGTACAAATTTGGACAGAGTTTTACATCTGTGGTTCTCTTTCTCTGGCTCTTTTTTCTTCTTTATTTTCTCACTAACTACATTCCTTCTCCTGGTATCTACAGCTAAAAAGAAAAAGGCAAATGTTCTTTAAAGCAGTTTTAGCTCCTCCACATCTCTGCCTTGACAGCAGTGACTCAGATCACATCTTAAGACCACTTTCTACCTGTCTCACACATACATGGTTTAGGAGTCAACCAGAGATTTGGGTAAACTTTTTATACAACTCTTGAGTTCCCCTTCTTGGGCCTCTCCTCTGTGGATTCCCTCTTCACTTTCCATCAGCCCTGGTTATATCAGAACCTTTCTCAGGTTCTGTTGGTCAGGAAGATGCCTGGCTGGTTTGAGACACCTAGTACGACCACAAGGGAGATTTCACCCTTATTCTACTCATTGCCAAATATCCTGTCCAATGCTCATTGAGGTTAAAGACAAAATTATCTAACCTGAGCATCTAACTTCTTTACAAATAAATGCAAAATATTAAAATTTTTTGTTCAACCAGGAAATAAATAAAGCCTACCAGATTCAAATAAAGTACATAAAACAGTGCTATAAATTACAAAAGAAACTGATTCTTGCTCACTGAACAAGTTTCTTTTGAAGGTACCAGGCAGCTCATATTACTAAGAAATAGAAATAAACAAGGTCATAAAATGGAAAGGAGCCAGGGGAGACTAGGAAAGAGAACTCTGAGACTGCACTCCATGGTGTCATCTGTATGGACAGGGCCACTTTGTCTTCTGGACCCTGGAAACCACTACTGACTGACACTGCTGCTACTAGAAACTGGATGCTGTAGTTGCCAATATTATCATAAGAAAAACTTCCTGCTGCTGCTTCTCTTTAAGATCCTAATTCACAATCAAGGTAGGGCTGCGGGAGACAAGGGGCAGTAGAGGGTGGGGAGAGTGTGTATCAGCAGCCTGATTAGCTAGGTCTAATTCATATGTAGTATGTATATTATATAATAATATACAACATATCTATAAAAATTTACAATATATAACAGAATGTATAATATACATATTACATAATACATAATTAATAATATGCAATAGTATGATATACAATAATATTATATAGAATATAATATGTGTAGTCATGTAATAATTAAGGGGAGTTGATGGGCTGGAGGGATGCTGGGGTGAGAGGGGAAAATGAGAATCTTGCTTTTGCAGATTCACTGGAAGACCTATTCAGACTTCTAGTAGGGAATTCTTTAAAAGCTCATTTTATAATGAGCTTGTCACATTTTATTAACCATACCGTCTCTCTTAAATCCACCCTTCTATACTACTTTGCACTACTGGGACTGGGATGCTGCAAAATACATTTCTCCTCTACTAGCCTCCTTTGTTAGGTTCTGCCAGAATGGGCACCATTCTAGACAGAGACTGGAAGCCAGAAGGAAGGTAGAAAAAACTTGTGTTTTTGTTCGTATACTGTCTCCATCAACATTTGTCCAGCAAAGGTCCTTAGTCCTGGCACTGCCAGTCAGTTCCAGGCTTTAGCTTCTTTTAGAGCCTGCTGAACTAGCCTCATCTAGCTACCTGTGATGTACCAGCATCAACTGTGCAAGGGCCACTTACTAGATATGTGAAGTGGAGCTCTAGAGCATTCCCCTTCAAACTACTAAGGTATTAGTACCAACTATACTGGGTATAATCTTCCTTCCAGAATCCTGAGACCCAGTGGCACAGTGCATTTCTTCTAAGCTTCTGAGACAGCAGAAGAAGAGTATGCCCAACTCCAGATGCCTGAGCCTCAGCTTCTGAAAGTACTTACTAGCCAGGCAGTCCCTTCAACTCAGAGGTTTAAGCCTTAGCCCCACAAGACTCCTGTGATACTGGTACTAGCATCAGTGGACAATCCTTTTTCTTGAGAAGTCCAATTCCCAACTCTGCAGGGCTCTCCCTCCAACTTCTAAGTTCCAATAACTCCAACCTTGTCCCTTCATTCCTCTGGCCCAAGGAGCAAAAGCTGGTTCCTGCAGTTATTACCTATGCACTACCCACAATGTTTTTCTTTTGTTCTTTAAGTTCTAAACACTTTCTGCTGAAATACCTACAGTGACTTCTGGTTCCGTGAGTGGACCTCTGAAGGATACAATAAGCAGTCCAAAAAGGGCGAATGTTTGTTTCCTAATGGAGTAGAAGATATCCATTCAAAAACATATTGCCAAAGCTTAGAAATATGACAAATTAATATGCAGGAAGACATAAAGAGGTTACAAAAGCACATGTACAATGTGATCCCAAACATGCTGTTGAGGCATGTGTGATTACATACATATGTGATTAAAGACTTGTACAATGGAGGCCCTGTTAGGTACATCAGTATAAGCCAGGACCTAGGCCCGTGACTGGCATTGAAAAAATATTTATTTACTGAATATGGAGACTGAAATTCTGAAAACTAAGGTACACACAAAACCATGCACAGCAGTGTTTTTAACAGCTTTATTTGTAACAGTCCCTCCATTGCAAGCAAACCAAATGTACTTCAATTAGCTCCTGTTACACAAACTATGGTACATATACTACTTAGCAATAAAAAAACTTATTATTGATATATTCAAGAGTCCAGTGGATCTTAAGGAAACCATACTGAGGAAAAAAGCCAACCTCAAAAGGAAATATATTATATGATTCCATTAATATAAAATTTTCAAAATGATAAAATTATGGAAATGATGAAAAGATGAGTGGTTACAGAGTTAGGAAAGAGAGTAGGCTGGAGGGAGAGAAGAGAGAGATAGGAGTGACTATAAAGGGGTGGAATGAGGGACCTTTGAGGTGATGAAAGAGTTCTGTATTTTTATTGTAATGGTGTTTACAAGAATCTATGAAAGTGATAAAACTGCCTAGAACTACATACAAACGTGCATGCATGCACACGGACATATATACAAATAAGTACATGTAAACCTGGTAAAATGTGAATAAGGTCTGTGGGTTGTGTCAATATCAACTTCTGAGTTTTGACTGTACTACAGCTATCTAAGATCTTACTATGCAGGGAAACTGGATGAAGGATAAATAAAACCCCGGAGGGGGTGGGGGGAGTTCCATTTCTGCAAGTTTCTGTGATAGTACAATTATTTCAAATTTAAAGATATTAAAGGGAAAAATAAAAAGATATTCAACAAAATGTCCAAAGTGGATTACAAGAGATTATGATCACTCGTACAGGCTGATGACAGAGGCATTATTAAAGCAGGCCAGCTGGTTATATTCAGAATCTAACATAGATGGCGTGATCTTGGTAAAGTCCCCACAGTCTAAGGAATGAAAACATTGCTATGTAAATGTAGAAACTAACAATGAACATATGTATCAATGAATGTATCATATGATTTACAAGGAGGAA